ATTTTCAGACAAAATTCAAGATTATTCATCAGCACATCGGTGCAGCGCTATCTGAAAACTGTAGATACAGTATCCCCTCTCGAATTTTGTATGATATCTCTAGTGGTCATCTACCCGTTGTCTTGGATGTGAGCAACGAGCAAACTTAAGAGAAAGGAGCTCCTCCAAGAAAACGTATTGACTGGGAGCTATACAAGCTGCTCCTTAGAGAGTATCTCAATTTCCCGATCATGGATAAAGAGTCTGGAATAGATGCCGCTCAAGGGGAGTGGACCAGTTTCATTCAAACAGCTCTACAGCGTGCAGCTGTACTTCCTGTACAACGACACGGAGACCTTTTTTCCTACGGACTGTCGTCAGAAAATCTCTGACAAAAGAGCCTCTATTAAGCATCCAAAAAGGTCTTGTCATCCTGATGACATTCGTAGGGCTACAAATCTTGTCCATGACGTGAGAAACGCACTGCACGAATTCCGCAACGAGCAATGGAGCGGATTTCTGGCGGGAATGCTTGATTCGAGTATTCCTCTGGAGCGTCGCTAAGTCACTCAGAAACGGAAAGCGAGAACAAATCTCGCACATCTACGGTCCTGGGGGCATAGTCTTCAGAACGGACGATAAGGTCAAGGTTTTCGCTGATGCCATGGAAAAACAGTTCTCGCCAAACTATGATCTTGAGTGGATTTATCTAAGGCTCCACAAGCACATTATCGTTACAATCCGAGGTTCCACATTGCACAGTAGCGGAGATTATAAGTCATATTGAAGACCTCAAGGTACGTAAAGCAACTGTGGAGGATCAAATCACCAACAGGGCGTTGAGGCTGCTCTCGCCGAAAGCTTTCACATATTTGGTGACAATAATCAATGCGATGCTTAGAATCCAGTACTTCCCTGCTGGATGGAAGACTGCTGAGGTCGTCATAATTCCAAAGAAGGCGAGAAGGTGGGTTCGATATTTCCTCAGGATTTCCGTCCCATTAGACTGCTGCCAGCTCCTTCTAAGCCCAATTTGGTTTTAGCACCGAACTATAGGCATTCAAGCTGGTGAAACATATAACCACACTCAGCATAAGTACATTGCATCTTGCTTTTGGATATCTGAAAAGCTTTTGACAAGGTGTGGCACGAGGGCTTCCTCTATAAACTAATCCAAAAGGGTCTTCCCTTTTGGCTTCTAAAATTACTGAAATCCTTTCTGGGATCAAAATTAACAACGTTTTGTCTGCAACACAGCCACTACGGGCCGGTGTTCCTCAGGGCTCGGTTCTAGGACCAATCCTTTATTCGCTTTTTATCCATGATGTCCCTTGCCCCAGTAACTGTGAGGTCTACTTCTATGCCGACGACACTGCACTTGTCGCCCAGTCGTGTATTGGTGATATGATTCACGATGGATTGCAGAGTGCGGTGGACGAAGCACTAGAGTGGGTGAAACGGTGGCATATTAAAATTAATCATTCGAAAACGCAGGCTATGTATTCTACCAATAAACGTCGCGGCCCCCCAGCAGAGGTTTTTGTAGACAGCAATCATATACCATGGACAAATTCTGCCAAGTACCTCGGTGTCACCCGATAAAGGCATAAACTGGCAGAAATGTACAGCAGCCTTGAAAACAAAATTCCAAATTGCCTTTTGGCAACTATATCCTTTGTTATGTAAATCCTCCAAATTGAGTTTGATAAACAAAGTTCGACTACATAAAATGATTATTAGACCAGCCATTACTTATGCTTGTGCGGCTTGGTGCTTTCTTGCCAAGACACACATGCAAGGTCTTCAAGTACTGCCAAGTAGAACTTTGCGAGCAATTTGCAACGCTGCGTGGTATGTCTCAAATGAGACACTACACAGGGACCTTGACATTCCTTACTTGAGGGATTATGTCAAGCTTCAGGCGCAGCGACGTTATAGTCAAGCGGAATCGCACAGCAACCCCCTGTTACTTGACTCAGTGGACTACACAGTAGAGCAAGTTCGTAAACATTCACGGCCACGGCTCGCACTGTAATCAAGAATTAGCGCAAACTTTTAGTAAACTCAAAATTACACTCTAGCAGAACCTTAGTCAAAATTTGTTTAGTCCACTTCAAAATTAATCCGTGTGCCAAGTCAAAAAGCCTAGGTATTTCCTCTTAAACTAAACGCTTCTGTTTCCCTTTGCTCTTCTACTTTTTTCTTCTCGTTCCCTTTCTCATTGTCATTGTCATTGTCTGGTTTCTGGACAACCAGGACTGAATGATTCGACTAATGTACATTAGACAGTAACTAATGGGCAAAGATCCTACGGACCACCCAGACAAAGAAAAACTAACAAACGTTAAAAAAAACGACGAAATTTCATCTCGGGGTGTTTTTAGTATGAAAATAGTTCATTCAACGTTTGCGTGGTAGGATAGCTGGTCGCTGACGTACAAAGTCTGTCACAAAGTAAACAGGACAAAGAAAAAATGAATAAACATTTTTTGTTTCGGAAAATCGAGTTTGTTTTATTAAAATTAAATCTCCTTAAGAGTTAATACAGCGATTTGCATGGATCAAAGGGTTTTTAAATGATGATTCTAGATCATTGACCGGGATGTCCTTTGAAATGGTCGTCGACGCCTTTAGGATGGCGTCTACGTCGGCATGCATCTGTCCCTTCATGGCCAAATGTAGTTCACCGAACAGAAAATAGTCACACGGTGCAATATATCAGAAGAATATATCGTACATAAGCGTCGATCGATGAGTTGGTGCATTATCTTGCAACAAGCGCCAGCTTCCTGTTTCGCGATATTCTGGCAAAACACGACGAATACGCGGTAGCAAACGCCTCAATATGAAACACAGCATTAACCGTTTAGCTCAGTGGAACGAATTCCTTGTGAATAGTTCCCTTCGAATCGTAAAAACAAATCAACTTTGTCTTTACTTTGGACTTTTCCAAACGACTTTGTCAGTACGTTTCGATAACAGTCAACAGAAAGTGTTTGACTTTCTTTATATCTTTAATGTCTCTCGAGTGTTGAATTCGAAGAAATTTTTGGTCATCCGTGAGCTTGTGCGGAACAAACCGTGAACACACCTTTCTGATGCCCAAATTCTTTGTCAAAATGCAATGGATTGAACCTTTAGAGATATTTCATTTCATTTCGATGTATCTCAATGTAGATTTTGACGCACTTTATCGACTGTTTCTGGTATAATTGCAAATTTTAGCTGGCTAACATGTTTGTCGTCTTCCAGCGACTCACGACCCTCGTTGAACCACATGAACCACTCGTTGACTCGGCTAGGAGATAAGCAATGATCACCATACACTTGCATCAACATCTGATACACTTCGGTAAATGTTTACCTAATTTAAAACAGAACTAAATATTGACTCTTTTTCGACCGGTGCCAAAAAGGTACTGTCACTTTGAGCGCGATAACTCCGCGTGAAGTTGTTCGACTGTCATGAAATTGTGACAGGGCATCAATGACAGACGTTCCTATCCAACGCTAGTTTCCGATAATAGATGGCGCTACTTCTATTCGCTGTTGATGGTTCTTCCTTTCTCAAGGCAATCGATGAATAAAATACCTCGCACATCCGGAATGCACAAGACAACATTTGGTCGACTTGTCTGACCCTGGGTGTCCCAAAAATTCACTAGCTGATTTAAAAATTTAATAAACCTGTACTTGAAAATTTTTTTTTAGATTTCGTTTCAGATTTATAAATTAGAATCCCGGGAGATTTGTTATGGATAAATTCACCGTTGAACACCAACAATCATTTGTCGAAACTCGAAGAGCGTTTCGCCGATGTTTCAATGCAAGAAACATGCCCTCGGCAATGAGTATACGCAATTTAATTGCTCGATTTCGACAACAGGGGTCTCTGGCCGACCTCCCGCGAGCAGACCGACCACGTCCGCCAGGCCACAAGAAGACATTGATGAGCACGTGGAGGCCAGCATAGAAGACGATGCGGAAACATCTATCAGACGACGCTGTACTCAGTTACGGCTCTCCCGTTCCAGTCTCCATCGAATTTTAAATAAGGTTTGCCCATCAATTAAGTCCCATAGATATTAGATGACGGAATGAATTTGCTATTCGTTTTCAACAGCTGTGTAGAGAAGAAGATATCTAAAACGAGTAATTATGAGTGACGAAGCTCACTTTCAACTGAACGGATTTATTAACAAACAGAATTGTAGGTTTTGGGAACACAAAATCCAAGAGTGCTTAGAGAGCAAAGTGTACAGTGTGGTGTGAAGTTACCAGCCAAAGCATCATTGGACCTGTCTTTTTCGAAGATGCACATACACATTCCGTACCCTGCACGTTCGCGTGATTTAACAGTCCCAGACTTTTTCCTGCGGGGGTATCTCAAGGAAAGAGTTTACGTAAGTAAACCGAGAACCATTGAGTAGCTAAAGGCTAACATCCGAAATGGAATAAATCTTTTAAATGAAGACATTTTAACAGCTGTCATGCAAAATGTACTAAGAAGAGCATGAATGTGTCAAAGCGAAAATGGAAGGCAATTGAGGAATATAATTTTTAGAACCTAGGTTAAAAATATCTTTATAAAATACTCCATCTTTTTATTAAAAAAGTTACTAAAAATAAAATGTATTTAAAAAGTTATAAGAATTTTAACCTTTAGCCGCTAACGTGCGGTCTACGATACCCCATTGATATATTATGTGTTACAATTTGGCAACGCAGCACATCTGGATACTAGGAAGCTAGATACCTCTTGGAGAAATCATGACGGAGCGTTTTAGTCAGTTGGCAATATAAGCTTGTGCGGCAGTGTTCTGTTATTGCCAAAACTATACCGTAGCGGTCTCAGCGACCTCACCTTAGCGAACGTGTACCGGAGATAAAAATTAACATCATGAGCAGTTTCTCTGATCGTATGCATCCTAATGATCCAAGATTTGAAGAGTGGACGAGATGTTTAATGGACCAAGATGACGAAGATATTAGATTCACTGAAAGTGATAATGAACTGGAAGATTCTGACATAACAGATGAGATACATGAAGAAGATACCGATGCACACTACATACCAGACGAAAATGAAACTGAAAATTGGTTGGAGGAAAGAAATCAGATGGAAGATGTTTCTGTTGAAAAAGAGAGGATTTATATTGGTAAAAATAAGTTCAAATGGTAAGAGAGCTCAGAATCTGTAACTACTAAAACATTTGTGGAGGTAATACTGAGGTGTGTGCTTTATCGTTGTTTTCTTTTCAGGCACAAAGACCAGCCTCCAGTCAATGTAAGGACTAGAAAACATAACATTGTACTCTCTCTACCTGGACTACGACCAAAAGCTAAACAGCTTGGCGCTAATCCGGAGATTGAAGACATCTGGCTTCTTCTATTTTCTGAAGATATGATAGCAGAAATAACTCAGTGGACAAATGTGAAGATCATTGATGCCAGAAAAAAGTATAAAGACCAGGCAAGTCCGATACTATCCACCACCGATGAAATAGAAATGAAACCTTTTTTAGGTATGCTAATATTTACCTCAGTTTTCAAATCAGGAAATGAGAGCATCGAGTCCTTGTTGCCACAGATGGCACAAGAAGAGACGGTTTTCGATGTACCATGACGAAAAGACGCTTTGAGTTCCTACTTACTGTTCTTAGATTTGACGATGCAACTCTACGAAATGAAAGACAAATTGGGGGCAATCCTGTGCCTCACATACCAAAAATATTCAATAAATTCATAGATAATTCCCAGAATGCCTTCTCTATTGGCACTAATGCTACCGTGGATAAAATGCTCGTAGCATTCAGGGGCCGTTAGAATTTAAAATATATATGCCGAAAAAACCGGCTCGTTATGGAATCAAAATAATGTGCCTGACAGATGCCCGAAATAATTACCTTTATAATGCCTATATTTACGCTGGAAAAGGATCAGATTCACTAACATTATCTGCAAATGAAAGAAAATTGAAAATACCAACACAGTCTGTAATCAGGCTAGTGGGGCAAATTCAAAAAACCAATAGAAATGTTACAGCTGATAATTGATTTAGCTCTGTGGAATTGGTTCAAGAACTAAAAAATAGGGGTCTAACCTATGTAGGTACGCTAAAAAAGAATCAAGCTGCAATTCCACCAAGCTTTCAAGGTAACAAAAATCGAAAACTCAACAGCAACCTCTACGGATACAATAATGATATGACTTTACTTTCTTTTGTACCAAAATCTTCAAAATCAGTTATTCTGATTTCATCTATGCATCATTGTGAATCAACTGATCAAGAAACTGGTAAGCTAGAAATAATAGCATATCGACAAAAGGTGTGTGGATAGTTTGGACAAAAAGTCTGCAAACTATAGTCCAAGCCGTAGGACACAAAGATGGCCTATGGCAATATTTTTCATGCTTGTTGACGTGAGTACAATAAATGCTTATGTTTTGTACTCAAGCTACAAAGATACTCCAAAACTGGAAAGGGCAGATTTTCTAATAAAGTTAGCAAGAAGTCTGGTTTTTGCCACAATGGAGAGCTAGAATGGCAAACTCAAAAGTTCCCAGAGAATTGCGAGTGACAATTGAAAATTTATGTGGGAGCACTGACCATTCTGCTCATAGCAGTGAAGTCCTAGAAGATCGCTTGGAAAAAAGAGCAACATGTTACAGATGTCCACCAAAGTTGAAAAGGAAAACTCAATACGGATGTGCATCATGCAAGAAACCCATATGCTTGCAATGTTCCAAGAAGATGTGCATTGAATGCGTGTTACATAGGAAGTAAGTAAATTGCCATAAAAACATTTTTGTGTTGTTTTTTATGTATATGTTATCGCTTAGTCTAACTGAAACTTAATTACATTGTTTTTTGAGCATTAACAAATAAATATTTTTAATAAAAACGTTGTACGATTCTTAAAAAATAACAAAAACCGGTAGCGGTATCTTAGACCGCACGTTAGCGGTTGTGTGCGACTGTCGCAGGTTAGCCGTTAAAGGTAAAGTCAGCTAGTGACTCTTGGGTATTTCATTCATTGTCACATATTGGCGGAAAAGCCCTGTTTATTGCTTTGACACAATTACAATGTTCTTAATCGTCGACCCTCTGTTGTTTTTGATCGAGTACGGCACGGGTATTATGTAAAAATCCTATAAAACGTCAAAAAAAACTATAAAATGTCATCTTGCAGTCTAGGTAGCTTTCACATCAGCTAGTGCTAAGTTAACATGTTGTAGAAGTGTAATGTCACAACAAAACCAGTACGATTTTTAAAAAAATCTACATGTACGTAGGTAATACCCGTGCCACTTAAATTTTAAACCAGCTTTATATTTCATCCATTGTCAGATATTGGTCAAAAGCTCCTGTCTATTGCGTTGACATAATCACAATGTAATTTGGCTTTTGATATATTTAACTCCTGTGGTATCTCCCCCAACCTCACTGTGTGATGGTTCAAGCGATTTTGTGGTCTTTTTGATGTTGTCCACGACAATGCCGAATTTGAGCTACCCGACCGTTGATGATGATTTGTGTCCATATGACTACGTTTAGAGTCTGCATACTACCTCTTAACGGTTGGTCTTAGTTTGTTAGGATTTATACAGAAAAACACGACACGGATGATAACGAACATGACAAGCCTTCCAGGGCGCATACGAACAAAAAGAATCGAATGGATTCCTACGATAGAAGCTGAAAAATTGCGGCACACTTACGAAAAGTGGATGGAATCGTAAAAGGAAACGCATGGAAATGATACAGTTCCCAACCGCGTGAGTTATTGAGAGCATTCTTGCTTTTCCTTTTTTCCCTATATGCGAAGTCGCGGACCTGAGGAGTTATTTATGCGTACCTCAGGGGAAAAGGAGAAATATACCCCTATTTAACGATATGTGAAGTACCCTCTCTGCTGGCGTATATCGATATATGCATACTCGTGTATGTATTAGTCATAGAGATAGCGACATATTCTTTTTACTTTCTGCGCCACTGGCGAGGAATTATGGTAACTGCAACACATTTCGAAAATGAGCTACTATTTTTTTTTGATATTACCAATATGACATATACACTACGAAAAACCATGTTACTCATTTCCGTCGGTCTATCTTTCAGTTCGCTAGTTCTTCATCCTGCTGTAACTTGGGAAGTATGGGTCGGATCTTGATTTAATTTACACAGTCTTCCTCCACTGCTGGACTGGATGTGGAATCACGAATCACTGCATCACGTACGCCTGCAGAAATTTGTCTCAGGGGAGGGGGGAGGGCCATCTTTCGGTGAGAGATAACTCAGTGTGACAGCGAAGCGGCCGCTATTTTTGAAGAGCACGTTTTCCCAGGAAGCTATTGCGTATCAAAGCAGGTCACTTTTGGTGTTCATCAGAGAAAACATAACCGCCATACGTTACACCCAGAAGGTGAAGGAACCTCATATACGGACGCTAATGTACGACCAGATATAGACAGAATTACGTTGGTATATTTCGAAGACAATCAAGCTGATTTGTTGCCTTGGCCCCTAGATCTTTCACCCATTTAACACATCTAGGACATGACAAGGAGAATATTACTTCGGTTTCTTCAGCCTTCACGGAATCCAGCAGCGCTTTGTCGCGAGGTGGTAGAAGCCTGGGATGTAGTGCGTTAAGAGGAAATTGATCATCTGGTTAGAAGTATACCCAAACTGTATAAGGCATCGGGGAGGCCCAGCAGCAAATCATATTAATTGATCTTCATTCTTTACATTTTTCAACAACTGAATTTTTCTGAAATTTTGACCATCTACTGACCTAACCCTAGGAGACGTATACAAAAAAATGTTGCAATAGGTGCTATATCAGTTTATTTTCCGTGTTGGAGTTTCAGTTGTTAGAACCGAATACTGCAACAACCAGGTTACTAGGTAACGAACTGTATTTTGGCATAGGAATAAAATATTCAAAACCGTTGATGGCGACAACTAAAACAGTACATGCCAATTTCAATTTATAGTCCATCACGCAATTCATGAATGGTGAAACCTGTAAACTATCGGAAACTACTCTCTGTTGGAGTCAATATTAATTCTAGGTCTGAAACTTCTTCTGAGATAGGAAAGGAAATCTGTGTTGCTGTCAGATATTTTACAAAGAAAAGGACTATACTTTACGAGAGCAAGTTTCTATAATAAACACAAAAGTGGCTCCCTGCCAGATAAAGTTCATTAGACGACCTCACTGGAAACTAGTAGACAGCATAGAAATAGACTGATGCCTCTGATGATGGTGACAAAAAACATCACAGGAAATTCTCCTAGCTCTAATGCAGTGTTGTCGAGTTTTCAGTTCTCATGGAGCCCCTAAGCGCGTAACTGTTTTACTGCATTATCTAGCTGCCATAGAGTAGCCTACAGTATGCGGTAATATTTTCAGTATGACCCGATTACAGGTATGTTGCTACATATGTTTGTTATTTCCATTCTATTTTTACGTATAGATTGCCAAGCTATCGGAATCCTACTTGACTGACAAAGTTTTACGCGTCGCGGCAGCTCACATAACTTACATTACATTCCATTTAGTCGGATTCCTATAGCTTCATAATATATACATAGAAATCCAAATATCACTGACGAGGTATTGTACAGGAGAGAAAAGCGAGAAGGGTGCGATACGTATGTTGGAAAGAGTGGTCCGATGGCAACGAGGCAAGTCGCAGCTGCGTCCATGGTCCCGTCACTCGGGTTGCTAGGCTATGTGGTGCTTCTATCTCTTTCTAGCCTACGTACTGCATGCTGCTCGCGCTACCGGTTTTTAAATTGTACCATCTCAATGTTTACTGGATTGTAGATTTATAAAATCATCTGGAACATTATGGTCTCACAAGGAACGGACCCATAAGAAGGTCATTTTTGTCGGTTTAATTGTTTTCATTACTAGGAAACTTAAAAAAAAATTAATGAAATGGGTAAAGTCGTTCTCAAGTTATGGCGTGTCCACAGGAAATAGGGATTCAGTCATTCAATATAATATTGATTAAAACTATATTTTAAACATTCCTATGAATACATGTGAGGTTTTATTATAGAGTTCATTTAATATGATCGTAAGTAAGTGAGTCATTTTCGTGAACGGCTATTTCGTATAGTTTAGGTAATATAAGCAAATATTTTGAAAAGAAAGTTGATTTCAAGTTAGGCGACTGATTGTTTAGCCGTATTGTATGCGATCTCAATCGCTGGCTCAGGCCCTATGACGGGTGTGCTAGCCCCACTCTTTGCCACAGTGTAAGCTGTCTCGTTTCCCTCCAAACCCGTGTGTCCGTGTATCCAAATGAGACAAACTTCATTTCCCTCCCCTATGCCA